CGGTGGCAGCGGCAGCGGGGGCAGAAGCAGCAGCGGTGGTGGCAGAAGCAGCAGCGGCGGCGGCAGTGGCGGGGGCAGAAGCAGCAGCGGTGGTGGCGGCAGTGGCAACAGCAGGAGGTGGTGGGGCGGGACTTTTGGGCTGCGGCTGCCCGCCTTTTCTGTTGCTCGCCTCACCCCGCCTCGCGCCTGCCTCTCCTCCTCCTCCTCGCTGGATCTTTCATGAAGGTTGGGGTGGGCGTTGGGCCGCATTACGAGGTGACCTGGGCCACATGCGGCCCGTGGGCCGCGGGTTGGACAAGCCTGATCTAAAGACTAGCTAGAAAGCAAGAAATCCAACCATTTCCTGCTTCCTAGCTAATCTAAATCTCCCGGCACAGCAGAACAGATGACGGTCGGAAAAAGGAAAAATAGCAATTTAGCAGGCAAGTTTGCTGGGTAAGGAGTGAGTGGGCGCGGAGGGTTCCCGGGGGGCATGTGAGCAGTGCAGCCTTTTGTTTTTGCGGAGCCTGGATTAATTGCTTTGTGGGGGTGCTCTGGGGGTGAGATTTCTCTGCGGCCCACCAAAATTTTCTCATGGCCCAGCAGCCCACCAGTTGGCGACAGATGGATTAAAGCACCGTTTTTGGCATGAAAGCCTGAAAACAAATGGGATAAATTCTTCTGCATTTCTTCCTAATCCTTTTGGGGCATAGACAGAGCTTACAAACAGAACTTTTGCAGACCAGTTTCGATTCTGCTAAAGTTCCTTTGCCTTCTTTGTCTGTGGGACTTGTTCTCCTACAATCTGAGCATTTTGCTTTGGATTCTTCATACATTAAAGCATTCATTTTGCCAGAAAGTTGCAGATTTAAAATATGTCTTGTCAAGACTCCTTTAAAAAAAAGTGGGGAAGAAAGAAAGTTCTCCAAGATTCATTCTGAGACAAAAGTGCAATAAACTAACTCACGGCCTTTAAAGCACCATCATAAAAAAAAAGTTGGCTGCAGGCCAGTCTCTGGTTCCCATTTCTTCCAATTTTGTCCTAAACATATTGATTGTAGCAATATTTCTTACGCTTTATTCTCCCAGTCCTTTCCTGGCTCTTGTGACCAATGATCAACTATTTTCTTCCTTCTCTGAAACTATTGCATTTATATATGCCAGCCGTTGAGTTAGAAGTCAGTGTTTTCAAAAAGTAATAGTTAAAATGTCAATCCCTTGATACATATAGCTAGCTACTAAATCTATATCAGAAGCTCTCAGGTAGGTGCTAGATTTGTCTTTAAGAGGCCTCAAAACTAGTTTTACCTGGCATACAAAATTGCAGCTGTCAAAGATATATTTTCAAAATATCATAGACTGACCATAAAACCAAAATACTCATCAAGGTGCTGTAGTTTTCCCTCTTCTCTTGTAGATGATGTATTGGAAGCCAAAAGGAATGCAAACTGTGTTGTGGAAAAAATTGGGTTTTCACTATCAACATATTAAGCTTGTGAAAATGGTATTGTCAGTAATTACATTTGCAGTGAATTTGTGTGCTCTGCTCCCTTCAGACTTTGCAGAATAATTTTGCAGAATAACTCTAGTACTTGGCAGAATAACTCTAGTACGAACTCTAGTATTTTACTTTTCCCTAATCAGCTGTCTGAGAAAAAATTACTGCACTGAACAGTCGAGTACAAAGAGAGACATTTATATTTTTGAAAAAGAAAACATCTGGAAAATTTGCATTTAATTTTTCCACATCAGGGAAAGAAGAAAACAAAGGTGATTTGCTTTAATAATAAAAAAGTTGTCAGCCTTTTTATTTTAACAGCTGTGCAAAGTATTTTGAAATGATGTGAAAGACATATAATTATTGAATTTCTCGTGAAATATTTGAAAAGTCAGTATGAGGCCTAAGGTTATTTAAACCAGCTTCTCTTTTCCTTATGTATGCTTTTTTATTTTACTCATGGGAAACCCTGAGCTTGATATTACGTCGATGACTGTGACATGAAGGATTTTTTTTGACAGTTAACCCAAATCAGACAAGGATGATCTACTTTGTCCTTTACATTTAATAGGCAAGGACAGTTAACTGGTAGAAGATAAATAGGTAAGAATAGTCATCTGCTGATGGCTACTGCAATTGAGGCTGACTGCTGGTGGGCATTCAAAGTCACCTTGATAGCAAATATGTATTCTGACCCAAGCCTTGTTCAAATTAAACAAATACAATGTATAAAAACAAACCTTTTTTAATGCAACGCTGGGAATTCAGTTCATTCCCAGCCAAGAGACATTAAACCCTAATTTTCTGATATCAAAAGCAAGCCCTTTCAAGGTTGCAAAAGGCTGTCAAGAATAGAAGACTAATTACTGATTAAATATCCACTGACAGAAGTTTCAAAAACAAATTGGGGAAAGCAGGGCTTCAATGAGGATTCTGAGTCTAAAGAACGTCTTTGCTTCCTGCAAAGACCACATCCTCAAGGGCTGGTTTTTATCCCTTATGGGAGGGTCCATCACCTACTAGCCTTACTCCCAAGTTGCCGTTGCTGCTTCAGCTGCTGTTTACTTAGAGCAGCCCTTCATGCATGCACATTGAGCACAGGCTCTCCAGGATCCTCTGCATCACTGTTGCCAGACTCCACAAGCTCCAAAGGCAGCACCCCACTTTCCGATACTCCTGGCCCCATCCCTGCATAACATGCAGGCCCCTCATCTGAGTCCTCACTATCAGAGATCTCTGCCATCCGTACCTGCTGCCAGCGAACCACAATATGTTATTTCCATGATCTGCTGCCTAATATTAATAGACTTAATATGAGAGAAAGATTTCTCGGTGAAGACAATAATCTGCCTATTCTGTTTTGGATACATCATTCCATCCACCAAACTGTTGGTGAGTCACTTACCTACTTTCCAGTTGTATTCTGTTGCTGTTTTGTAAATCAAAAGGTTAAAACTTGAATAGCCCAAAGCCTTTCTTTTGGGGGATTCTCCATGCTACGTATCCATGGTATTGTTTCCAATAACTCTGAAAGTTGTGTTCTTGTCAATCCTTCAAAATAGATGGGACCAAGATATCAAAGTCATGTGGTCTAATACTATTTTTATTATAAAGCTATTGTTACTGAATCTTGCAAGGCTGGATGCACTTCTTTCATCCCTCCCATTAGTTTTGTGAGAACTAGTAAGGATCTCATCTGAAACACCTCCTTAGATTACAGTTCTGGACTAAACTCAGATTTCTTTTATCTGGATGTTGTCTTGGAAACAGCCCATTACATTTCTTGCATCACTCTAGATAGATGAATCCATACGGATGTAAATTCTTCCTGCTTTTCATATTTCTCCTGCCTTTTACCTTCTTTTTTTCCCAGTTCACTATTTTTGCTGTTTGCTGATGTTTAATAAATAATCATCAAGCTTTTTTTAATTAGTTGAACAAAGTGGTATGTATGCTTGCTCTGATCTGAAACACAGGAACTGACTAGGAGTACCTTGGGTGCAAAGAGAACTGGAAATTACTCCAAAATAATTGGGTTAGGAGTTAGCAAAACAACTGTTTCAGTTGTTGGTAACAAACTGTAATTTTTGCTACCAAACTAAGGGTGTGTTTCTCTCTCTCTCTCTCTCTCTCTCTCCCTCTCCCTCTCCCTGTCCCTCTCCCTCTCCTCCTTCTCCTTCTCCTTCTCCTCTTCTTTCTCTACCCACATTTTGTCTCTGGTCTTGAAAGAAAAGATTGTTAACTTGTATGTAAAAACAACAATTTTTGGTCAAAAGTTGCACATTTGGTTTCATCCAAGCTTATTCTTACTGGCTGATTTTTCATGGTCACCACCCTCAACACAACTAGGATCTGAATTCAGTATCTGAATCCAGATAATCGGTTTACTCAGTTACAGATCCAGTGCATTACTTGAATTTATCCCAAATGTCTCAAAAAAAAAAATCTGAGTCTCACCTTCCTTATTTTTCAAATTGATTTGTCAAGCTTCAAGCCTGGGAATCAATGACAAACATTATTTTCCTTCCAGAATAATTGTACAGAAATGACATATGGGTTTGATGAGTGTATTTAAATAATTAAAGACAGCAAATCTCAGGAAGCAGAGGGGAAAAAATCTTGAGGTAGGAAAGCAAACATTAGCCAGTTTCTCACCCAGCTTTTTCCTTCTGAGTAATTACAAGATCTCAACTTCCAGGTTGCAAAATCTTGTCTACCCAAGGTCTATTTTTATAATAGCAGGAACAGATTTATATCACTAAAAGACAGGTCATTGGATTTTCATCCCTAGGGCATCACACCAAGACTTAGAAGCTTTGATATCTTACATGGAGGTCTTTTACCCGTGTTGTAGATAATACGATTTGACATTCCATAAACTCATTTATAAAGCCTCTTATTCTGGAGCCAGAGACGAGCCCTCGACTGCTCAAAATATTACTCGCGTGGGCAGAGAATGCCAGCATAAACAAAATAACAGAGCTGCATTTTAGCACATCTGCATTCGCCTTGTCTCCATGGAACTCAAGGCTATGCCTGTCAAGATATTTGCTTTTATTCTGAGTTGCACTTTTGTGAGGCTAAGTGATAATGACCAGTCCAAGGATATATCACAAGCTGCATGGATGAACATAGAAAAAGCTGATAAATCACAAAAACAAAACAATAAAAAAATCCCTTCACATCTTCCCAGATTCTCAGTTGTTTTCTCAAAGGATTTATTTTAGCAGGTAACTTTCTTTAAATTCTCAGGTAGCCTAAAGAAATACCAGGGAGCTTAGCCTTGTTTGCTTATTTCAGAGAATAGTATGTGTTTGTTCTCTATACTTTTTTTTCTTTCTTGTTTCTATTCAAACAACATTACCCACTCTTTCCTTACCATTGCCTTTCTGGGAAATAATATTTTAAGGTATTGAACATGTTTGCTTTGTGTAACGGCATTTCTAGTCCTGCTCTAAAACAGGGAAAGAGATTAGTCTTCAACATAGTGACTAAATTAGTAGACCAGGAAAATACTGTGGACAAGGCATTCTACAAAGTAGACAACAACCTATTTCTTAGTAAGGTAGAAAAAAGTAGAATAGATAGCACCACCACTAAATGGACTCGCAACTGGCTGACAAACCGTACTCAACGAGTAGTCCTTAATGAGTCTAAGTCTACATGGAGGGAAGTAAGCAGTGGGGTGCCACAAGGTTCTGTCTTAGGCCCAGTACTCTTCAATATGTTCATTAACGATTTAGATGAAGGAATAGAAGGGGAACTTACCAAATTTGCAGATGATACTAAGCTGGCAGGAATAGCTAACACCCAAGAAGATAGGCTCAAGATCCAGATGGATCTTGACAGACTAGAACACTCGGCTATATCTAACAAAATGAAATTCAATGTAGAGAAAAGTAAAGTCCTACACTTAGGCAAGAAAAACCAAAATTACCCATATAGATTGGGTGAAACCAGGCTCAATAGCAGTAACTGTGAGAGGGATCTTGGAATCTTAGTGGACAAGCAGTTAAGTATGAGCCAGAAGTGTGCAGCAGGGACCAAAAAAGCTAATGCAATCCTAAATTGCATCAACAGAGGGATAGAATCAAGATCAAGTGAGGTACTAATACCACTCTATAAAGCCTTAGTAAGACAACACCAAGAGTACTGCATCCAGTTTTGGTCACCACATTATAAAAAAGATGTTGACTCTAGAAAAAGTACAGAGAAGAGCAACCAGGATGATTAGGGGACTGGAGACTAAGGCATATGAAGAACAGTTACAGGAACTGGGCTTGGCTTGGCTAGTCTAGTAAAGAGAAGGACCAGGGGAGACATGATAGCGGTCTTCCAATATTTGAGGGGCTGCCACAGAGAAGAAGGGGTCAATCTATTTTCTGAAGCTCCTGTAGGCCAGACAAGGAACAATGGATGGAAACTGAACAAGGAGAGATTTAACCTGGAAATAAGGAGAAACTTTCTGACAGTGAGAACAATCAACCAATGGAACAGCTTGCCCTTGGAAGTTGTGGGAGCACCATCACTTGAGACTTTCAAGAAGAGATTGGACTGCCATTTGTCAGAAATGGTGTAGGGTCGCCCATTTAGGTGGGGGGTTGGACTAGACGACCTATAAGGTCCCTTCCAACTCTGATTATCTGTTATCTGTTAATTTGGGTTCTCTGCATCTGTTTTATTTTCCTTGTCATCTCTCAGTTGCTGAAAAAAAAATTGTAACCCATGGTACAGACTAGTAATTAAACATGACTAATATCATGAACAGAGTTCCCATAGGGTGCTAAAATATGGATTGTTTGCCAGTGATTAGATCCAAATCATGCTGACTCATTAATATTTAGGCAAGAAAAATCAAATGCACAGGTACAGTATATGTGGTACCTTGCTCAATAGTAATAATTGTGAGAGGGATCTTGGAGTCCTAGTGGACAACCATTTAAATATGAGCCAGCAGTGTGCAGCAGCTGCCAAAAAAGCCAACACAATTTTAGGCTGCATAAACAGAGGGATAGAATCAAGATCACATGAAGTGTTAATACCACTTTATAATGCCTTGCCAAGACCACACTTGGAATACTGCACCCAGTTTTGGTCACCACAGATGGAAAAGATGTTGAGACTCTAGAAAGAGTGCAGAAAAGAGCAACCAAGATGATTAGGGGACTGGAGGCTAAAACATATGAAGAACGGTTACAGGAACTGGGTATGTCTAGTATAATGAAAAGAAGGACTAGGGGTGACATGATAGCAGGGTTCCAATATCTCAGGGGCTGCCCCAAAGAAGAGGGAGTCAAGCTATTCTCCAAAGCACCAGAAGGCAGGACAAGAAGCAATGGGTGGAACCTGATCAAGGAGAGAAGCAACTTAGAACTAAGGAGAAATTTCCTGACAGTTAGAACAATTAATCAGTGGAACAATTTGCCTCTAGAAGTTGTGAATTCTCCAACATTGGAAGTTTTTAAAAAGATGTTGGAGCCATTTGTCTGAAGTAGTGTAGGGTTTCCTGCCTAGGCAGGGGGTTGGACTAGAAGACCTCCAAGGTACCTTCCAACTCTGTTTTTCTATTCTATTCTAAATCATGATTTACAAATCACCAAGGGCTGGGATCACATAAAATGTTCAATTTATCACTTCATCCAAACTTCTATCTTCTTGAACCACCTCACATCCACATCTTTCTGCTGTAGACATAAATGAGCTCAAGTTCATGGTATCATGAATATGACTTGACAGTTTCAGAAATGTACAGGTAGTCCTTGATCTACAACAAGTCACTTAGTGATTGTTATGATGGACCTATCTTTGTACTACTTATGACCTAGATTCCAAGTTGTCTCACCCAATGGTCATGTGGCCATTCACTTAACAACTACAAACTTTATTTAACTGTCACAGTTTTTAATTGATGGCTGACATATTCACTTACCAACCACCGCCAAAAAAGGTTTTAAAATCAGGTGGGTCACATGTTTTTCTACCATCACAGCTTACAACCTTGAGTTGGAGGCTCATTATGGTCATAAGTCGAGTACTACATGTATTTGAGACAATACTGGAGAACCTATGTATTTCAGGGTTAGATGGTGATAGGGTCCTGGTATTCTCTGAACATGTAGTAAACACCGTAGTCTGATAGAGAGAAGCAGGAATTGTTAGTTGCTTATATACATAAAAGAACTTGTCTTATAACCTTGTGTGGGTTGAGCAAGATATGCTGGTTTGTGTTATTGGCCTTTGGCAGTTCCTTTTGAGTGCTTCACAAATGGAAATTATGGCTTCATGTCTTTTCATTGCTAGCTTCTCAGAGTGCTAGGCATCTATCTCCTGTATTCTTGCAATGTATTTTGTAATTGTTCTGTGTATCTTGCTCATGGTCACCCATACCTTAGTCACCTCCTGTTTTGCATTACAGCAATGTACTCTACATGAAGCTACCCCGAAGACCGTCTGCAAGCTGCAATCGGTTTAGAGTGTATTAGCACACACACTTCTGAGTGCCCCATGCTTCGCCTGAGTAAGACCATTGCTGCGTGAGCTGTACCGGTTGCTTTCTGGGTGAAAGGTGCTAGTTAACACCTTTAAGACCCTACATGGCATAGGGCTTTAGGATCACAGATATCTGCCTGCCCTACTAGTTAAATAAAGTAGATGTACTCCAGGTCTATGTCTATGGAGATTCTCAGCCATCCAGGCTATGGCTGTCCCAAATATGCTTTTTCAGGAGACAACTGGGCCTTCTGGTTTTTCTTTGAAGACATTTTGCTTCTCATCCAAGAAGCTTCTTCAGCTCTGTACTCCAGGTCCACTTCCTTAAATGTTGCCACCTGATAGGACCTCAGAGGTATGCCTTCTCAGTGGCTACCCCAGCCCTTTGGAATAGCCTCCCACCTGAAACCGAGGAATTTCTACTTTTTCTGCTTTCCACTAAAAGTCAGGCTAAAGAAAGGAATAAAAAGCCCAGAATATCCTTACCACACACCTAACCAACACCCAGAGAAGCACCTAATCATGAAAGTAAGGACCAAATAATTGCATAGCAATTGGTGAAACAGTGCCCAAAATCAATACAGTCTATTCAGAGTTAGTAGGACAACTGCTTTTTTTAAAAAGCAGCCAATAAATCCTCTCTTCCCCATGTCAATGAGAAGGAAGGAAACCAAGCTTAGAGTAGTTCAAGAACCCAACAATAGGTTTGCAGCCAGCCTTTTCAACACATTGCTGTATTTAGTTTTGCAGATTTATTACTGAACATTTGTCTAATGTTGCAATTTTTGCTATACAGCATTATACCCATTAAATCCAAGAAGAACAGACTGCCCGCCAATGATTCCTGGGGATCAGAAAGTACTCCAAAGCTACTCCAGATACGTGTATTAATTTACAACTCCCATACCAGCTATGGAGTAACAGTCCCATTCATTATCGTTCCTTGAAATGAGGAATACGTTGTACTAGCTGCCATACGGATGGACAATCTAAAAGCCAGTATTTTCAACCTCAGCAATTTTAAGATGTATGGACTTCAAGTTCCACAATTCTTTAGCCAGCAGGATGTTGAAGTCCATGCATTTTAAAGTTGCTGAGGTCAAGAAACCCTGATCTAAGCAATTTGCAGGTTGTACAACAGATAACATGGAAATGGAGAGAAAAGACCTGACTTATGTCCTTCTTTATGACTCACAGAGGAAGAAGGGCTAGATACTGGCTATCTCCATTTATTACATGGCAGCAAATCTATCTTGGCCACTGGGATGTATTTGGCTTGGTCGCAAGTCATGCAAAAGTCCATCAATAAATCAAGAAATGTCAAAAAAGGAAGCTTGGGCCAAAGCAGATGTGACAACAGTTATTGGCTGGCAGCTATTCAAGAAATGAGGCATTCTACGTGGGAAAGTTTGATCTTCAAAATTAATGAGCCCTGCTAATTAATTGTTTCCTCATTATTTGGTAGCAATTAAGTCCTGATTTATGACAGAACAGAGGTCATTAATACCTAGTAACTGGAAGGTCATGCATCTAATCAATGGGCCACCATATTTTAGGCTCTTGTAATTAAAAGTGGGGAACACAAAACTCAAATGCCAACTTTTTTAAAAAAAATAATAAAGCTGCAACCGTTTCTGTCAAATTTTTTAGTTTGCAGCTTGTTAGATGACTTTGGTAGTCATGTTTACTATTTGTTTCTGGGAATTTCTTTCTCACTTTCAAAACATGAGAGGGGAGGGGGGAAACCCCAACTTTGTGATTTTCATAATCTAGGCTGTTCAATCTAATTAACACTTAAACACTTAAGCTCATTAGAAGTAAAGCAGAAGAGATAATATTTTCTTCTGTAGCTTTCACTTTATTTTATGTGGAGGCAGCTGGAATCTTGTAAGCTGTTCCAAGCACACAGATACAATTTCCCAACTGTTTAAAAGAAGGGAAATGGGTATTTGCACTTTCCTAAGCAGAGGCTTGATATTTCCACTGGAAATACAAGAGAAGGGTCCAATACAAGAGAAGTAGTAGAGAAGATTCTTCAATAGCAGAAAAGACATTTTGTTCCTTCCCAATCCAAGTAGGATGATATTTAGGGTCCTCTTTACAGCAGCTGATTAGAAAACAGGAAACATTAGGTAGATGAGGGTTTGCATAACATTTGCATCAATGTTATATTTGACATTCTGTCAC